GGCTCTTTTGTTGGGTCCATGATTCTAGTTTTACTAAATGGGAGGACACATTACAGTATCTGCTTGGTACAGAATAAATAATACTGATCGTTTTCAAGGTGTTCCACCCCAGGATCTCAAACCAGCTGGCAAAAGCCAATGAATTATGCTGTACAGCACCGCTTGTGTTATAGGCATCAATTATTATCCTTGTTCTCTGAATAGGGGAATGGGGGCATGGCATGGCAAGGATAAGCGACTTTGAAAATAAATCTTTAATCTCATGCGTTGACCATGAAGTAGCATCCGGAACAATGCCCTTGGGTCTTTGCACCTAATGCCTCACTCTAACCATTATGAAAACCACTATGTATGTGCAGTGCCTAACACCCCTCCTCCTTCCACAGCAGCCACGCACTACATTATTTCAAGGTGCCATCTAATTTAGCCCTGAAAAAAAATTAATTGGAGAATAAATGCTGCCTTTGTCCTCCTGCAGGGCAGAGGCAGCAGGGTCTCCCATAAACCACAATGTGATTATTAACACCATGATAAAAATGAACTGGCCCCCTGCATAACAGCAGTGAATCCAAGCTACTGCTTTGGTGGTATAAAGAGGGTGGGCAACTGGATAAAACAAGTCTGAATGTGTCTATATTTGGCATTTAGCTGCTGTATAACACATCATGTGACTCAGCAAGTAGTTAGGTGGGTCTGGATTGAGGGATGCTTACAAACCCAAGCCCTACAGACCATGGTGATGGATTTTGTCCTGCATGCCAAGGGGTCCTCTGAAAGGTGACACCCAGAGTGGTACTCATAGGGACTGCAGGGTATGCAAGGTACTCACATGCTAATGGGTACTCAGAGAGCTAAAGCGGAGTGGGGGTCAGGCACTGAGCCATCCCACAAAGATGCCTGCCTTGAGGTTTGAGACGTTCCCATATCCCCCAGGAGCAGACACTGGGCCACAACTCAGTTATCTAATTTTAGATTCTGTATCATTTCACTTTGTGGATGTTAGCCTGATTCCTTCCATCTGTTTTCAGGATGGCAGGGGTAAGCTCACGGTGGCAGGGGTAAGCACATGGGAGGGCACAAACTGATGCCTTATGGCAACAGGAAAGAAAAGCAGCAGATGGGTGAAAGGAAAACCACATGCCTGTTCCTTGAGGATCCCACAGGCGCTACAGTCCTCCTTCCTCTTGAAGATCCCATCTGTCCTACAGGGTTTTCCTGCTATGCAGGGGTAATGCCATCAAATTACAAGAAAGTCCAGGTTAAAAAAAGGACAATGCCTGCTGGTAGAACAAGTGGAATTTTAAAGGGCCTCTTGACTCAAAGGAAAGGCTGTCCCAGTGGCAGGGAGGAATGGAACATAAAGTCAGCCACTTTTAAGAATTTCAAAGAAGGGGAGTCAAGGGCCAAAACTGAGATAATCACAGAGAGTCTCTGTTGGGAACAGAGTGGTATGCCTACATGCATGTATGGTTGGCTGGGAAATGGAGCACTGGCTTTTACAAATCTACTACATTATTGGGTATGACAGACAAATAACTGGGTGAAATTCTACTATGTAGGAGGTCAGACTAGAGCATAATTGCCCCTTCTGGTCCTAACAGCTACAGTGAATGCTGGACTCATTGAAGTCAATGGTGAAACTCCAATGGATTCCAGTAAGAACAAGTTTTCTCCTTGTGACTCTCTACATGTCGATGGCACAAGGAAACTGAGTCTCCTGGGGTCTTGAAATTGGTCCCCCTCTAGTCTGTTTGGTGTGTGGTATCTTAATTTCACCTGGAAGTAAGGGAAGGCAGAGATTAGCTTTCATGAAGGAGCCTCTATTGTACTGGACATATGGAATAGGGATGGGGAATTAGACTGGAAAGTGGGCCTGAACACCTGAACCTGATGATGAGGCAAATGTGGACTGCCTGTGGACTGAGGGGAGTTGGACTGGAGGTCTACCTGGCTGGACTTAACCCAGAGTCTGTTCATCCTTCTCATCACAGATTCAAAACTCTTCCACCAGGGACCACAGGAAACTATATTTCCATCCTGATGGCTTGGTTATGTTGTGAACCCCAAGAAGGAGGTGTAAGTAACCAGGCATCCAGAAGGAGGAAACACAGATGGTTTGGATTATTCCTCATAATCCTTGTGTAACAACAGCCTCCTAGAGACCTATATCCTAACTTGTTCACATGTGCCTCCACTGAAGTCAACTGAATCAAGTCTGCTCTTAGTTCCACTGCCTGTAAATCAAGAATATATCTATAGGTTTCATGGGTATTATTCTAGATTAACACCAATGAAAGTGGAAGGAAAGATGGCCTGTTGCAGTTACTTCAGGGATGAATTATGACCTCAGTTAAACTTGATGGGTCAAGATAAGCTTAGATGGTTGCCCCATGCAGGCTGATTTGTCTCTGCTGGAATGGCAGAGGGTGTAAATCAGTGCAGAATCCAGCCCTTGATATTTAAATTGATATTACTAACTGGCATGTTTTTTCCCTTGGGCAATGCAGCTATCAGTGAGATAAGTTCAAGGGGCAGATGTATCCTGATGCATATTTTTGACCCTTTCTGACAGGAAAGCTGAGTCTTGGTGAGGGGATAGAGGAGAGATGCTGCATGTGTGAGTGAGCTCATGGAGAAGTGGTATGCTTCACATATGTGTTTGGCATAGTCTAATAAAGCCTCATGCTAGAGCATTAGATACTCATGTTTCACAGATCTCAGTCTATCTGTAGCTTCTGAGCCAAATTCTTATGCTGGTAATGCAATGAATGACTTTAATGCACTGGTGTAACCAGGGGCTGGGTTTGGCCCTGCAGGTATAGGTTGATGGGTCTGATTCTCTTCTCATACACAGCATAAATGAGATGAGAATCAGATCATAAATGTTTTTGTTAGCTAGCTAAAGTTGCAATACCCTCCTCATCACTCCCGCAAAATGAAAAACTGGTCAAAAAAATGTTGACCGAAAGTTCTTAAATGCAAAATGCACCTGCACCAACAGTGAAATGTTACCACTGGGGAGAAACTGGATGCTTCCATTAGAAACAAACCATAGCTTTCACTGCAAGTTTGTCTCTTGAAAGTCCAAATATTTTGTGAAGAATTTCAGAAGCAATGATTTTCCTTTGATGTTCCTAAGGGAAATAAAATCAGGTCTTTTGACCAGTTTTCTTAGTGCACCACGAACTTTGCTTCCCTTTTTTTTTGTTTTGCTGGGTGGGTGGAGGGGAGGGGAGAAGAGGCTGCTGTAATAGAAATACTATCTTTCCACGTTCCATAACCCCAGAAAAACTCCCCAGCTACTTACTCCTTTGAACTCCTACCACCTATGCAGTCACTAGGCCACTGGAACACACTACACTGCAAACAAAGTTCCTTTTAGTTACCTTGATTTGTGTTTCTCTTTGAAATGCTTGCAGCTTTTACATGATACTTTTACCTTTTTTCTTTTCTTTTTGTTTTTTTTTAAATTAATTTATTTATATATATATTTAAAAAAGCAATAGTCCTTTGGTCCCTAAACTCTAAGGAATGATATGACTTGAAAGAAGTAATCCTATGTCCCTGTGCCAGTGACAAGCAGGCGGGGAGAAACAGATCCCGCCGCCCTGCTCCATGGGAGATATATATATATATATATCTCGATATATATGATAGAGGAGAGATGCTGCATGTGTGAGTGAGCTCATGGAGAAGTGGTATGCTTCACATATGTGTTTGGCATAGTCTAATAAAGCCTCATGCTAGAGCATTAGATACTCATGTTTCACAGATCTCAGTCTATCTGTAGCTTCTGAGCCAAATTCTTATGCTGGTAATGCAATGAATGACTTTAATGCACTGGTGTAACCAGGGGCTGGGTTTGGCCCTGCAGGTATAGGTTGATGGGTCTGATTCTCTTCTCATACACAGCATAAATGAGATGAGAATCAGATCATAAATGTTTTTGTTAGCTAGCTAAAGTTGCAATACCCTCCTCATCACTCCCGCAAAATGAAAAACTGGTCAAAAAAATGTTGACCGAAAGTTCTTAAATGCAAAATGCACCTGCACCAACAGTGAAATGTTACCACTGGGGAGAAACTGGATGCTTCCATTAGAAACAAACCATAGCTTTCACTGCAAGTTTGTCTCTTGAAAGTCCAAATATTTTGTGAAGAATTTCAGAAGCAATGATTTTCCTTTGATGTTCCTAAGGGAAATAAAATCAGGTCTTTTGACCAGTTTTCTTAGTGCACCACGAACTTTGCTTCCCTTTTTTTTTGTTTTGCTGGGTGGGTGGAGGGGAGGGGAGAAGAGGCTGCTGTAATAGAAATACTATCTTTCCACGTTCCATAACCCCAGAAAAACTCCCCAGCTACTTACTCCTTTGAACTCCTACCACCTATGCAGTCACTAGGCCACTGGAACACACTACACTGCAAACAAAGTTCCTTTTAGTTACCTTGATTTGTGTTTCTCTTTGAAATGCTTGCAGCTTTTACATGATACTTTTACCTTTTTTCTTTTCTTTTTGTTTTTTTTTAAATTAATTTATTTATATATATATTTAAAAAAGCAATAGTCCTTTGGTCCCTAAACTCTAAGGAATGATATGACTTGAAAGAAGTAATCCTATGTCCCTGTGCCAGTGACAAGCAGGCGGGGAGAAACAGATCCCGCCGCCCTGCTCCATGGGAGATATATATATATATATATCTCGATATATATATATATATATATAGATATATATATATATATACTTATTTATATATATCTTCTCTAAGTCCAACATCCTCTTATCATTTGATTTCTTTTTCTGTTTTTTTCCAGCCAGATGTGGAAAAAAAAATCAATTCCTTTTTCCCTTTTAAACAAAACGTTATCCAGGTGAAACATACAAGCCTGGTCCATTCCCACTGGCTTTGGTTTATATCCGTTTGGAGCCTCTTTCCTAGTTCCTCCTTTGAAATTTGTAGCAGCAAATGAGTGCTTTAAAAAGGTAGGTTTTTGTCCTCGCAACTGAGCTGTCCCAGCTGACAATCCTGGGCTGGTTTGTTTTTTATTCCTTTCAAGAATCCTGCCTTTTTCCACATGAGGAATTCACAAAGTCTTCTCAAGCAGCCGCCGTTTCAGAGTTTAAGCAAATCTTTGCACCTGTTTGCCTTGTCCAACATCATTGTGTCTCTCTTCCTTTTGTCTGTTCGTCCTTCCTTCCCTTCTTGTTAAGAAACAAACAAAATCGATTGGAAAATTAAAAAAAGAAAAAGAAAAGATACAACCGAAATGGCTCTCTTTTTTTTCACTGGTGTTTCTTCTCCTCCATTGGTTCCTCTTCTTCCTCCTCCTCCTCATCCATGATATGTTGCAAAGAAAGAGAGTTACAAGTTTGGATACTGCACTTGGGAAAAGGGGAATACTCTTCAAACGCTGCAGGGCATCCAACCTGCAAGACAGCAAAGGGTATGTTAGATCTGCTAAGCCAGCTGAGGATCTGCCAAGCCACTGGACGTAAAATGCAGAGAAGCCCACTGGGAAAGGCTTTGACACATGTTGAGTTGTAGTACTAGGGTAGCAGAGGATGGGGCACTACTGGATAGTCACATTGCTAATGTGGGTTCCTTTCTCTCAGCCAGCTCTGCTCAGGCAACTCAAGGATGTCCTACAGCCCTACTGCCCGACCAGCTCCACCAGTGCTCTTCCCTCCTAAGCTGAAACACCCACTGTTACTCCAGACCTGGGTTCCTCTCATATAGTACACCTCAGTCTGGACTTGCAGTGCCCTCACTCTGCCAGCCATGGGCTCCCTACTCAGATCTGCCAATGAACATATCTCAGTCTTGACCCACCAACTCTTCTGCTAATGCACTCTTCAGTCCCCACCTCAGCTCCGACCTGTAGCTCCCCTTGTTGTCTCAGTCTTTGGTCCACCTGAAACCAGACCTCCTTCATATTATACAAATGATTGCTTTTGCCATGTGGAGAAATGTCTTTTAGGAGTTAAATGGAGTTCCCTTTACCATGTTGCCACCTGGAAGTGAAGCTGGATTTGAGGCTGGGTCTCTGAATATGAAAAGTCCAGCACATATCTAACTTTTCTGGGGTCCTCACTAACTAGTTAAGTGGTATGGAGGAGCATCTGTGTGACTGGTGAGGAAACATGTAGGCCCTTTAGCTAGGTCACTACCTTTAGTTTAATGTCTCTGCAAAATGTCCTGCATTAAAGAAACATTAGAAGCCAAATTCTCTGCTGGTGAAATTCCAGTGAAGTCAATGCAATTATATCAACTGAGGTTTTAGACTTAGGCATCTTTGGCAAATTTCATTTAGCACTTTTTCCTACTGTGAATTTAGGCTTCCTAGCTTTGAGGATTCACAAAGGCTGACTGCTTTATCCCTTCTCATTTAAGCAGAATGCTTTGCAGGGAAATCCAATGTCTTTTCAGGATGGAATAGCTCTGGGTGAAGAGTTGAGTTATAAACCCTCTGCAGTGGACACCAGATTCCTATAGACTCTTTAAAAATTCCCAGCTTCTGCCCCTCAAGTTCTGCTGTCACTTTCTGCTTTTCTTCCATGAACTCCCTCCTGCATGGGATGGGAAGGAAGATCCAGGAAACAAATGCAAGACTTCAGGTTCCGACTCAGAGCAAAGGATCAACATCTGGGATATCCCCGAGTGCTTTCTTTCTTTCTTTTTGAGATTCTACTTTACAAAGTAAAAAACAAAAAAGGTGATTCAAAGAAAGGGAAATAAAAGACTTCTTATGTCTAACTAAAATTAAGCGAAAACCATTTCTTTTTAGAAATACTATCAAAATCAAGGGTGATTCCATAACAATCACGACAGTTCCCCAGTCATCATGGCCATATGGTGAATGCAGGTGAAACACATATACAGATATTGTTACATTACAACAGAGAGAAAAGAAGAACGGGCAAAGGAGGAGGAAGTGGTGTTCAAGGGGTCAAAGGTCACAACTAAGTAAGACTGACCAATCAGCACTCCAATAACTATCCACCATGGGCTTCAATACGGCACTTCACAATCGCCAAAACAAAAGAACTGATACAGAAAAAATAAAGATATAGAGAGAGAGAGATACCAAATACTCAACGTCAAGTCATGCAACGAGGTAACAACCAGCCACATGGCGTCATCGCACAGGACGATGACAACATGAGTTAGTCACTTACAGTTTCGGTTTATTTGGGAGGGACAGATTTTGTTTGGGTCTCCCATAACAGCTAGAGGGTTGCTAGGCAACTGTGGGGCCATCTTGGAGCAATGATTGGCCTGGTCTGGTTAGGTACAGTAGTGGTTGGGTTGGAGGAAACAAAACATAAAAAAAGATGAATTGGTTTGATGGAGTTTTTTCAGTTTCATTCCTGTTTGTGGTTGATCAAGAATAGAAAATGTGCCTTTGAGGATTCTCATAACAATGTCTGCCCTTCTCGAACACCTTTCCCTCTAAGCATCTCACAAGGCTTTGTACGCATGAACTGACACTCACTCAGGACCTATGGAGAGATCAGTGTTATTGTCCCCATTGCTAAAGCTATGGGAATAACTAAAAATGAATACGTTACCTGATGAATTTGGGCTTTTTAAACTTATGACATCTCTCTGAATATCCTCCAATGTTTGGATTTATTTTGGCGTCTCGATTTATTTTGCAAATACCTTTGGAGAATGTTGTATTGTCCAGCTTGGCTACAATTACTCATTTCCATAATGCTCAGCTGTGATTGGTTAGATAAATGGTATAAGTTCTGTTCCCTGACTGGATGTGAGCTGGCAAGGTCATCCCACTGGAAAATCTATGTGCAAATTTATTATTTGTCTGCCATGAATGGTCATGTATGCAACTCTGAAATGCACAGCTTCTTGTTTTTGTTTAGTTGTCTAACTCTGCTTACCGGGAGGGAAGATGAGGCACAAAGGAGGCAACTGATCTACCCAGGATCACACAGTAAATCAGAGGTGGAACTGGGGATAGGATGCAGGTAGCCAGGCCCTAAATCCATTTTCTCAAGACACTGTTTCTCTGCTGAAATAACTGAACACTGAACAACAACAAAAAATATTTAAATAAAGAGAGCAAGACTAGCTTATTAATAGTTCTGAACATGAAGCAGGTGGCAAAGGAAGACTCCAGGTTGTATGCTACAGTTTTTTCTTCCAGGAAACATTGCTAAATACTTAATAAAGGGCTATGAAAACCACTGCTCAGTCTTCCCAGCTGTCAGCACCAGCAGGAAAATGACTCTCCCTGACTGATCCGCTCACATGCATGAAAGTGAGAGGTAAGCAGTCTCACCATGCTTTAACTCTAGTGCTTTAGCTCAGCAGTGTAAACCATAGCCTTTAGGGCCTGGCATGCCATGTTCCTTTTAGATGTGAGAGGCCATATTGCCAGGCTGAACAAAGCATGCTGGGACTGGCTGTCTCTCCAATCCATAACTTCATGTTTCTACCCAAAGGGAAGTTGCAAGTCATGTATTTTTCACAAATTAGGTGCAGCTGGTGGCCTCTGGCTATGGGTCAGCATTCAGAACTCCAGTTTTACATGCAGCATGTGAAAAATCCATTTCCCAAAGCATGCCAGTCGGAGAGGGAAACATGCTGTCTCTCTAGCTGGGCAACTAGGACTGGGGAAATGAAGCCAAACAATTGTCTAAGCTTGGTCATGACTTTGCAACCTACTGACCAGCAAGGAGTAGCCAGATGTATTGGGGTTCCAGTCTCATGCTTCCTAGACTGCAGGTAAAAGTAGCTGAAGACTTCATGCTGTAACTAGGCTTAGAATGCTTGATCATGAAAGGATGGAAACATGAATGGGACAAGGAAATCAGGTTGAATAAAATGAAGTAAGGTTACTCACCTGAAGCTCTCTATTCACTGTCTCTGAAGTGCCCACCCTCAGGGATGCAAGGCACAAACCCTAATATCATGTCACCCAGATGTATGGCTCCACAGATATGCTCATTTGCTGAGCCCTTCCACCCGTTCAGAAGAAGGGATGGAGATGGTGGAATGTAAGCCAGCAGCAGAAAGACTAGTTACAGGTGCGTATCCTTTCTCCATCTGAGACTGTCTCTGCAGATCCTCACGCTTGGCAAACTGACTAGCAGCTAACAACCCACTGGAGTAAGGCTGAGGAATAATCCTTCATTAAACAAAGCTCAGAATAACTTTCTCTCAACATTAGCACCTTAGTCAATACAGTCTTGTGTGAATGGCACTCAAGGCAACTGCTTTGCGATGTTCAGAGTTGCAGGCAAAGTGCTCTGGGAAATTGCCTGAAGGCTCCCTGACCAGTTGGCCATAAATCACTGCTTGGTCTGGGTTGAATCCGGAGTCTAGTCTGTTTATACAGCCTCTGAACAGAAACTGATTTCCTCTTAGACTTGTTCTGAAGTACCACCAATGACCCTGAAAATCTGCAAAGGATTTTGTCCTTTCCAGGTATAACACAATACCCTCTCAATACCTGATGCATGCCGCTTCACTTCATCTGGCGAGTCATGATGTTGAGGGAAGAAAGAGACAGAATTTCATCTTAACCAGTCTAACGGAAATCACTTCATGGAAGTATTCAAGGCATGGGTGCAGTACTGTATTATCCTCAGCAGATGCCATCAAAGGAAGATAGCCATAAATGAGTTTCTTTTACCTTGGCCACATATCTGATGTAATGGCTTCTAGGAAAACAGCTTTGTAGGAAAGGTGGTAAGGAGAAGCCCTGTCAGATAGGCTCAAATGAAGGGTATTTGAAGCTCCTAACTGATTCTATACTGATGGATAGACATGACCTACCCTGGAGTAACCTTTTTATAATAGGATGAACAGAAGCTGGACTGGAAGATGGAAATCACCAAAGGCTCACAGGCAACAACACACATTCAGACTCTAGATCTGATACTACAGAGAAAAGAAATTAATGTGAAAAACTGGTGTAAGACAGCAAAATGACCCCTGTTTTGCTTTACTTTTCTGATGACCCAAGAAAGCAGCAGGATTGGTTGGAGGAGTACAGGAGAGGCTTATTTTAGTCTATAAGGAATAAACTCAAGAGACAGGCAGGATCTCTGCCAGCTCTTACACAATATGGAGGTTATTTGACATTGTCTTCAAAGGCCAAAAAAAAAGACCCCCCACAACCATCTTGGATATTCAATTTACTGAAGAATGCAACAGACACTAACAGTGATAGCCATGACTCTCTGATTCCAGTCTACTGCGTGGCCTGTTTTTCTCCAGCAGGTAAGGGGCTCCAGGAATGACATGGTAAAAAATATGCACCCTTTCCTCAAAACACTACAGCTTGCAACCTGAGTCATGTATGATGTGCATGTCATGCTGGTTATATGGTGTTTGTTTCTCTCTTTTGACTGGATGAACACAACTCTTAGACTCCATGGAGGAAAATACTACAGAAGAGCTA